TTATTACTTCTAATGTATGATAATAAAATGTTCCCTTGTTTATTTTATTTACTTCTTTTATTTCACAATTTTGATTTTGACAGTTTTATTTGACAGTTTTCAGTCGTTGTTTGGCCGGATGGTGGCATATGTGTGGTGGCAACTAAGTGGATGAGTAAATGTAAAGAAAAGGTCCGATATCCTACTCAATCCAAAAAGCCTACAAAACTGCTAATGTCTCTTGTAGAAGCGGAAGAAGATTGGGAAGAATTTAATGTTGAGTTCTTGCAACAGTTACAGTAAGTAGCCTAGCTATAAGCTTTATGCACTGTGTTCAATTATGGATACTGAACTATTGTTTCTTCTCGTGTTTACAGAAACTTTTAACTTGGCTCATAAAGCTGCTATAATAGCTGCCGAAGATGAACCTATTGACTCCAATGTAGAGACTGATTATGAAAAACCACGAAAGCGTCAACTGCCAGACAGATTTATTCAGAGTTCTGATGATAACTGGCAACCAGAAAATATATGTACAAAACGTAAGCGGCAAATTGCAGGAAGATCTCGTCGAGAGATACAAGATACAGAGAACGAAGACTGTCAGGATGTTTCTCAAGTAAATAGTATACCAGCTCCTGCAAAAAATATCAGGGAACAACTCGCTGCATTGAAAGCTCAACACCTTCAATAAAAAAAATTGAAGCTTAATGAATCTAATTCAAATACAAGAAAGAAAGTCTTGGCTATGAAAAAATTAACAAAAATAGAAAAAAATGATAAAGTGTCTCCTAAAAGATCAGCACCAAAAGGTAATAAATTAAATCTTTATAATAAGATTCATAATAGTTTCTACTCATTTTTGTCATATTTGTATAAGTTATACGAACACATCAAAATTGATTTATGTTGTTACAGAAATTTTGAACTATGGGGAGAGTCTTGCAGATAAAGAAAATGTAAATACTGCAAATCTTCCATGTACATCTAAATATGTAAATCTTCCTGCCTGCAATCAGTCTATAACTTTATTGGATAATAATAGTAAACTTTTTCTTTTGTTTGCAAAAGTATTTTTATCGTATTTCTCTGATTATTTTTTTCTATACTGAGCGAGCATTTCTTTTTTACGCCACCATTCACAGAATGTAGATAGCGACAAATAAAAAAGAAAGGCTCGCTAAACATAAAAAAAATATGTTATTTGCTTACTTCTTATTAACATGTTTTGAATGTAAAGAGGAAATATGATAACAATACAACTTGACTTTGAAATTCCTGTAAATTAGACAGTATAAGCTTTGTTTCTTAAGAGGATGCTGAAGTGACGGGCGAACTCCGACGCGAAAGCGCCATCATTTCGATGGTACTAAAAATGAAATGACATTATCGGCGCAGCCTACGGACCTATGCCGCGTAGGTCCGTGTGTACGCATTTGTTTGCAGTGGTGACTCACTACACTGACGTGTGGTCTGTGTACGTGTGTCATCGGAAGTTTGTAAACAAACGATGCTTGCGCTTGTTTCCTCGACTGAAATTTCGTCGCAAGGCTGCAATATAATGTCCGAAAAACATAAGCGTATACAAGGTGTCAAA